TATAGCTCGGTTGGGTCATGACGATAGGCAAGCCCGACCACCACGTCAAGGTAGCAGCTTCGGTCGGGTGCTTTTAGTCTCATCGTTGTCCAATCGACCTGCCTGGCATGGTAGGACCTGCAGGAACGTACGTTCCAGCCAGTATAGCTCGGTTAAGTCTTCACGATAGGCAAGCCCGACCACCACGTCAAGGTAGCAGCTACGGTCGGGAACTATAATGCTACAGAAGAAAGGGAAATTGTTCCGTTCACAATGTGGTTCAAATACAACAACAAATGTTTTCAAGAGTAGATGAGAAGGAAGTTAAAGGCGGTCACATTTTGCTTAATTATAGTAACTGATAACTAAGTGACTTTGGTGAAGTATGTATGTGGGTTGGATACAACTAACTCTCTGGTTCAACCGAGAATGGGTAGTCTGTTCTCTCTTGAACTACTCTCATGTAACTACAGGTGTTTAGTCACTGCCAGGGAAATTCTGCTTACTGCCTTCTCATGGCTGATGTGTTGTTTAAGAAATTGAGAGGACGAAAAGTTAGTGTCTGATGCCTTAACCCGGTTAGTGGGCACGGAAGATTCACTCAGGGGAGTTGGAAAATCCCAATTCCAAACCAATAATGCACATGGGCTCCAGGATCCTGGGTGAAAAAATGACGGATGAACTTATTCTTCACCATCGGTTAGCATGTCACCAGGTTCCCTAACTTTGCTCCACTGCCTTGTGAATTAAACTCATTGATCAAATGCTCGGGAAGTGTCACTATTGCTCTGCAACTTTACCATCAGTGACGTTCTGAAAAGATCTCTGATGAGTATAGGTAATGGTCGTGTGGATTTGCTGCCCTACAGAAAGCCATTTCGACTGTGAGTATGTGGATGATATTGTCTCACCTTAAGATGATGTTCAACCGTGTAATTTACACTTAATTAGTTGGTGTTTAATTTTCATGGGTATGACATGATCTGTTGATCCTTTAAGAATGAATTATTTTCATAAGACTCTGTGTCTGCACGGACTCACTCTTGGTTGTGAGCAGTTAGATTTACAAGCGAATAAATAATCATCGAGTAGTTAGTTACGTAAGGTAATAATTGTGTCATGTCATATTCATAATATTGATGTAATAATGCGTAATTTAAAGGAAACACATTTTTAATAAATTAATCATTCAACGAATTCAATTAATAGTTAGATTAACTGAGATCCTAAGTTAGTATCTAGAAATTGGTCGTAATCTCACCTGACTGGTCTCAATCGTTGATTGTCTCAGTCTATAAGCGAGGACAAAAGTCCTCTTGTGACAGACACGTAGGAACCAGTTTAACTAATATAATGTTTAAGAGATTAACTTCAATAATATACTTCAGCGCCTAACTAGAGCTTATGAAGATCAGACTCTAAAGAAACCAGGTTGGCTTGAAGGAATAGACCTTCTATCAGGAGATTCACTCATTGACTTAGAATATTCAGATGATGTAGTTCTCTTTCGATACTTATCTCACTGAATTATACTTCTTGAATCATGTCCTTGAACTCTAATATTCTCCATTAAGGTTAATTCTTGTACTGTCTTCACCACTATGGGATTTGAACTTACAGTTGCGTCTCTGCTGATGCAGTATGGCAACCTGAACTTATGTACTAAGTTCTACGTTGTAACTGACTCACTTACTGACAAAATGCAGAGTCTCCTGACGACTACCTAAAGCAACAATGCAAGCATGTCCGGGATGCTATTCTCCCCGTTGAAATGCAAAATGTTACTTCAGGATTGGTTTGCATTGATACGTGAACTAATGTGATAGGAAGTGAAGTAGTTGAGCATGTTGACCGTTTCACTTATCTCGAGAGTCTGGTCATTGCTGATCGCCTGGTTTTTGATGAAATCCCAGCACGGATAATACAGAAGTCTCGATTGACTTTTGTAAACTTACGTTATTTATGACTTTGATGAGATGTGCGTTTGTTAACCAAAGGACTAGTTTACTGTGTAGCATTTGGCTTCCTCCTACTATATATAACATGACATTGATTTAATTATCATTAATCCATTTCAGTCAGTCAGTTAGATGCAACGTAGAACTTCGTACGTAAGTACATCAGTTCATGTCGCCATACCACATCAGCACAGAGATGTAATTGTCAATTCAAATCCAATAGAAGAAGAGTTAGTAAGGGTATTAGAAGTAATCGGAGAGGTTAGGATTAGAAGATATTATTCAAGAAGTATGATTCAATGAGAAAAGTTTAGAAAGTCAAAACTAGAGGTGTTGAAGAACCCAGAAGATTAGGATTTGAGAGAACATGAGGAATAAATACACCGTCGCCATTGCGAACGCTTTTGAGCCATGTCATTCACGGTCTCTAACCATCGATTATTATCATCTCGCGGACACCAACCAGTTAGTCGACAACTACTGACATGACTCAGTCCACTTGTCAATGGCTTCATGGATTGCTGCGATGTTTTGGTTTGGCCGCCCCTAACTTTCTTCCAACCTATTCCTACACTACAAAACAAAGCTCGTCGAGGCAGTCGGTGGTTGGGCATACTCAGCATATGTCCTAACCATCTCAACTGATGAAGTTTCATTACTTCATCTATTGATCTGCCATTCTTACCTAGCACCTGATTCCTAATAACAGTGTTGAACATGTTTTGTTGAACTCCTAGATATTTCTAACATCAGGTATTGACATCAATTGTGTTCAATCTATTTTAAAATAATTAATTAGTCATATAGAATAATAATAGATTATAAGTTAAAGTGCTTGAAATTGATAAAAAATCTATGTACACCGATATTAATACATTGTTTTGTTTTTACTCACAAACAGTCAAATATGTTATGTTATGTTATCACAATGTTAAAATAAATGAACTTAGTTCATTATTTCACTGAATGTACACGTTTGTCTATGCGTTTCATTCATGTTCTGTTCTGTTCTGTTCTGTTATGGTATGTTGTGTTATGACGTGGTAAGAGGAATATATATATATATATATATATATATATATAATAGAGTATGAGATAGCTGAATAAAATATTAAGTTTACTGTGTCATTTTGTTTATCTTAATCATTCTAATTAGTAAATTATGTTGTTTTTTTTTGTTTTACAAATTAATTAATAAAATATTATTATTATTATTAGTATTTTTTTTGATTTTTTTTTGTTGTAAACTTTCAATAATTTTAACTTTTATTTATTGTATAGTGTAATTTTGTTTATATACTTTGTCGCCTCATGTGATGTTGATATGAATGAAAATGAGAGAGATATTACATTCTACCCCATATATATATATATATATATATATATATATATATATAATGTCTATATTGTACACAAGTTGTATCTCATATAATTTAAGTGCAGTGTATGAGACCAAATACATGAAATTACCAAGAAAAAACAAAACCAAACAACTAAACTTAACTTTCATTTGAATGACATTTTACACATAAATTTCATATATTTGGCACACATTTTAAAATGGTTTCCTGTTATATGGTGTATATAAACAATCAGAGTGTTTATAGATAGATAGTATCAATTATGAACTTTTTTCAAAAGTTTTTGACTAGTGAATGTTGAACTTGAAAACTAATTTTTTGTTTATTGATATGCAGAATGCCATATTATTATAGTAAGTGTAATGTTGATGCCTATTGAGGCTTGGTAGTTTGGTTTTTTTTCAATTATCAAAATGATTTGCAATGAATACTTGAAACTACTTGTAAACTATAGTGATTTTTTTAATTTTGTGTATAAAATAAATGTTGACAGGATGTAATTTATATATCTATCTATCTATCTATCTGAACAGAATATTATTTAGCGACTGGGATTCCATTCGAATTTTTAGGGGATTTTTAATGGCAGTTGATACTTTAGATTAGACAACATACCAGTTGAGGCATTGTAAACAGATAACAGTAGTTACAAAGATACTCTATGCTTTCATTAACAAGATTTGGGGAAAAGAACAAGGGCTCTAAGAGATTAGAAAGGACACCTCAACTAAGGTACTAAAGAAAAGAGAGAATTGAATTCAGAGGCATCTTTTTGCTTTCAATACCATGAAAAAATCTTTAACAGAGTTTTGTTAAACCCGAATCAAAGATTCTGTGGATGTGTCTTTGAAGCATTGCTTGTTTATCCTAGGACCATTGAGTAAGCAATGTTACGGTTGGTAAAATGGTACTTGGTAAGGATGACTATCTAGTTGATGGATGAAGTAGTGAATCGTCATCCGTTGAAGTGATTGGGACATGTGTTATGTGTGTATGCCTTACCACTGACTGCCTCAACGAGCTATGTTGTCTGATGTAGGGGGTTAGGCTGGAAGAAAGCTAAGGGCAGTCAAATTAAAACATGGCATAAATCCATGAAGTCACTGATAAGTGGACTGAGTCATGTTGGTAGATGCAGGCTACCTGATTTGGTCTGTGTGATAATAGTAACCAGTGGTTAGAGACCTTGAATGACACGGCTCAAAATTGTTTCCGGTGATGTAAGTGTAGGGATTGTGTTTCTCCTCTCAAATTCTGTACTTTTGAATTTCTCACAACTCTGTTTATTTCACTGATTTATATTTTCTTGAATTCTATCTTTGATGCTGAATCTTTTCCACTACCACTGATATTGTTATTCCCTTCAATAACCTGGGATTCGGCTTGACTATTCTATTTCTGTGTGCTTAATGTGTTACGGCAGCCCGACATAATGTACTCACATATATAAAGTTTTACATTCTACCTGATTGAATGGCATTAATACGAAATGAAGTTTAGACGATTACAGTATGTCAGTCAGTCATTTAATATTTTCAGTCTTTGGGTGCTTATTATAGATATGATTACCTGTTTTGTAGATTTTGTGTGCTACAGATCGAAAATGATGTTTTAAAGAAAAATCTTTCTTTAGTTTCATTCCTATAATTAGTTTTTTTTTATTATGTGATAGGGTTGTAAAAATGAAATAGTCTTTTTTTAGTCACATGATAACTTTTGCTATTGTCAGCTGTTCTTACTGAAATCGATAGACTGACTATCAGTATGAAACAATATATGTACAAATCTTATTCGCTGGTTGACTTACCCACTCATATTTTATCAGTGCTATGCGTCGTTATTTTAAGTATTTATGTTTCGAGTTCCAACATTACTACTAGATTTGAATTTTCCTTCATATCTATCTGTTTAGTAAGTGTAACTTGTATATCAAGTAACAGGGTCTCAGGTGTCTGTATGTACAAACTCTTCATCCTGTTATCACATTGTTTTTTAGAAATAAGCAACACTCCTGAGATTTTTAAGGATGGTGGTCCAGTTTTAACAGTTAGATTGACTGGGGTCTTAGGTAGAATCTGCAAACTGAACGTAGTCCCATCTGACTGGTCTCAATCGCTGATTGTACCAATTTATAGGAAAGGAAAAAAGTCCTCCTGTGAAAATCACAGAGGAATCAGTCTAACTAATATAGTATCTAAAATATTGGACTCAATGATACTCTGACGCCTAACTAGAGAAAATCAGGCTGGTTTTTGACACTACGTCAGGTTCTAGAATACAAACACACGTTCGGACGTCCCACAATAGTAGTATTTCTCGACCCTAAAGCGGTATTCCACTCTGTCGATCGTGAGGTTCTGTGGCAGTGTCTGTCATTAAAAGGTGTGCCAAAGAAGTACAATTAACTTATACAAGCTCTCTACTCGAACACTACCGGTGGAGTGAGAGCTTATGGCGAACTGTCATCGGAATTGGTTGCTTCAAGTGGTGTCCGTCAGTTCTGTCCACTCTCTCCATTCTTTTTTAACTTTGTCATATCTTCGTCTGACTTTTTAGGAGTGGACCTTCTACAAGGAGACACGCTTATTGACTTTGAATATTCTGATGGCATAGTTCTGTTTGGTGAAGACGCTGATAAAATGCAGTATCTGCTGACTACCCTAAGCAACAGTGCATGCATGTTAAGGATGCGGTTTTCCTCCTCGAAATGCAAAATGTTGCTTCAAGGTTGGGTTTCATCGGTACCTAAACTAATGATAGGGAGTGAAGTAATTGAGCATGTTGACCGCTTCACTTATCTTGGGAGTCTGATCAGTGCTGATGGCCTGGTTTGTGACGAAATCTCAGCACGGATACCAGAAGCTCGGTTGGCTTTTGTTAACTTGCGTCATTTATGGCTTTGGTGAGATGTGCGTTTGCTAACCAAAGGACGAGTCCACTGCGCAGCAGTCCGCTCCATCTCACTCTGTGACTGTGAAACATGATCGGTAAGAGTTGAGCACATTCGTAGGTTATTAGTATCTGATTATAGATGTTTTCAAAGCATTGCTCGTGTATCGTGGGACTACCGAGTAAGCAATGCTGTCGTTAGGAAACGAGTTGTAGGTAGGGATAGCAAATCAATAGATGAAGTATTGAAACTTCATCAGTTGACGTGGTTGGAACATATGTTGCGTATGCCTAATCACCGACTGCCTCGATGACCAATGTTTTTTTGGTGTAGGAATAGGTTGGAAGAAAGCTAGAGACGGCCAAACTGAAACATTTCATAAATCCATGAATCACTAACTAGGCGACTGAGTGATATTGGTAGATGTAGGCTACCTGGTTGGGGTCGGCAAGACGAAAGTCACCAATAGTTAGAGACGTTGAATGACATGACTCAAAAATCGTTTACAATCTTTTGAATTTCATCTTCTCTCTCGTTTCATACATATAATGTGTATATATATTTTTTATCTTGATAATTAATTTGTACGTAGACTGTAGCTTCAACATCTGGCATAGATGGTTGTTCAACATGTAAATTTTTCGTCGAAATAATTTATGGACAACTTCAAAGTAATAAAACAGAAGATGAATTACGACATTTGGTTAAAAATGCATGTTCTATTCTACCTGGTGATTTTTCGGATAAAGTAAGTAATATTCCATTTTTTTTTTGTTTTTATGTACTATTAAAAAAAATGTTTATATTGCGCTATTATGTTATATGATTTTTTTTTTTTCAAAAAAAAGGATAAAATATTCTATGAATCGAATTATATATGTGTAACATATGTATATTGTTATGATATATGCACTGTATCAGATCTGAACATGATATACGCCAACTTATGGCGTAGGCGAGATATCCATTTGCTGACTAAAGGACGACTGTACTGCGCAGTAGTTCGCTCCGTCTTACTTTATGGCTATCAAACATGGTCAGTGAGATTAGAAGATATTCGTCGGTTACTGGTTTTCGATCATAGGTGTCTTCGAAGCACTGATCGTATATCGTGGGACACCCGTTTGAGCAACGCTGTTATTAGGAAACGGGTACTAGGTAAGAATGGCAGATCAATAGATGAAGTAATGAAACTTCATCAGTTGAGGTGGTTGGGACATGTTTTACGTATGGCTAACCACCGACTGCCTCGAAGAGCTATGTTTTGTAGTGTAGGAGTAGGTTGGAAGAAAGTTAGGGGCGGCCAAACCAAAACATGGCAGAAATCCATGAATTCATTGACAAGTGAACTTAGCCATGTCGGTAATTGTCGACTACCTGGTTGGGGTCCGCGAGATGATAATAATCGATGGTTAGAGACCTTGAATGACATGGCTCAAAATCGTTTGCAATGGCGACGGTGCATTCATTCCTCATGTTCTCTCAAATCCTAATCTTCTGGGTTCTTCAACACCTCTAGTTTTGACTTTCTAAACTTTTCTCATTGAATCATACTTCTTGAATAATATCTTCTAATCCTAACCTCTCCGATTACTTCTAATACCTTTACTACCTCTTCTACTATTGGATTTGAATTGACAATTACATCTCTGTGCTGATGTGGTATGGCGACATGAACTGATGTACTTACGTACGAAGTTCTACGTTGCATCTGACTGACTGACTGACTGACTGACTATACGCCAACTGGCCACTTGAATGTTGTTATATATTCGTCCTTGAGGAAATTTCTGATGGTCACATGAATTGTATTCATTTGGTCACTTGTAATCACCTGGTTTACTTATTATATCATTATATAGTTAGACAAACAGTTACAATTACTTTCTATCAATATGTAGTGAAGGAGAACACAGGTGAGGGCAACCGAATTGTATTTAACGAAAATTACAGAGTTACTCAGTAAAATAGGAAAACCATATCGTAAACGGTTAATTTGCAAATCTTCAATCCATCATCAATCGATTGTCTGACATTTCACTTATTCATGCATTTCATACAAATTCCGTTGTGTTCCCAATCTTACTTTCTTGATCTTCTCCCATTACGTTTACACTCGCATCATTTACTACTTATAAGAAGCGCGCACCACAAATATATATATATATATATATATATATATATATATATATATATATATCCAAGTTGTTCATTGTATAGTTGAAAGATAGATAATATGCTGTAGTCAAGTCTAAGAAACATTTTACTGATTATTATGACTACAATGAATAGAATAATGAAAGAGCTGATCAAAAACAAAATCAATACTTAAATAATAATAATAATAATAATAATAATAATAATAATAATGATAATAATAATAATAATAACAGTTGAAGAAGACATAAAGCAAACTGAAAACTAACTCGCTCGATAAGCGGTCATCAAGCACTCTGTTTAATCATGTGAAAATGATGAGACTAGTTAGTTAGTTGTAATGATTAACAACAACTATAAAATTAGGAATGAAAATATGTTCATAATGAGTATTGAAGTTGTTTTTCTACTGTTTTGTTAGGAAGTTAATAGTTAGTATTAGTAAGCACCATTCAATCGACATGAAGCCTTGACATTTTGCAATTGATAACATGGATATCAATTCTTAACTTTTACTATGTTGTCTGTTACAACACAACTCAACAATATTGATAATAATCTTAGAGCCTGGTCAACATGTTATGGAACATAATCGTTCGATTTATTAATAGTCTTAAAAAGTGTTATTGCACCTTATAATCGGTCAAACAAACATGAGATTAAACAAGGTTAGGCATACGCAACACATGTCCTAACCACCTCAACTGATGAAGTTGCAGCACTTCATCTATTGATCTGCCATTCTTACCTAGTACCCGTTTCCTAATAATAGCGTTGCTCACTCGGGTGTCTCACGATATACGAGCAATGCTTCGAAGACACTTACGATCGGAAACCAATAACCGACGAATATCTTCTACTCTCACTGACCATGTTTGATAGCCATAAAGTAAGACGGAGCGAACTACTGCGCAGTACAGTCGTCCTTTAGTCAGCAAACGGATATCTCGCCTACGCCATAAGTGACGCAGGTTGGCGAAAGCCAACCGAGCCTACTGTATCCGTGCTGAGATCTCGTCAGTCACCAGACCATCGGCACCGATGAGACTCCCCAGATAAGTGAAGCGGTCTACACGCTCGACTACTTCACTCCCTATCACTAGTTGAGGTGCCTATGCAACCCAATCTTGAAGCAACATTTTGCATTTCGAGGGGGAAAACCTCATCCCGAACATGCTTGCATTGTTGCTTATGGTAGTCAGAAGACTCTGCATTTCGTCAGCTTCTTCACCAAGTAGGACTATGTCATCGGCATATTCTAAGTCAATTAGCGAGCTACCTGGTAGAAGGTCTACTCCAGAAAATTCAGACGAGGATAAGGTTATATCTAGGAGCATGTCTATGATAAAATTAAACAAGAATGGAGAAAGTGGACATCCCTGACGGACACCACTTGAAGTAAAGAATTCCGGTGACAGTTCAAAGGATCTATCGATGATAATCAATCTATTATTCCTCATGTAGACTGATAATTTAGTATTTCGACCACACTGAGAGGAGGTTTCAATATGTAAGTCGGAAATTCGAGCTCCTCCTGTCATCGTTAGCTTCAGTTTAAGCAGTTACAGAGAATTAGTAGTTTTTCACGAAAACAATATAATTTAAAGCTGAACACAAATCTGTACTATATGTAGTAAATGAGTTACTACCACTTTTCACCACGTCCTCGTATGATTATAATTACAAATAGCGTTCACTCATTAATTAAGACTTAGATCTTTATGAATTAGTATTTTACAATATTGGTTCCTTACTATATAAAGCATGATTGTTATTTATAATGTCATAAATGAATGAATAACTGCTTGATTCTTTGTTATTCTAATCTTTGAAAAAATTTATTCGAAAAGCCTACACATCTTTGAAATGTCACTTAGTTTTTAATAAAGAACTACATATTTAGTAGTGTGTATGTAGGTCATATGAAACTTTTAAACATTTAAGAAGAAAAATATTCTCTAAATATGATTAAAATTCTTTTTATGTTAAAATTAAAATGAGAATAATTAGAGATAATATTTTGTTGTTTAGTAAAATCGACAGAAACAATATATGAATTAGGTTAAATACAATTGTTATTGTTTTTCAGGATTCAGTTATTTGTTGATTCTTTCATTAGTAGATTTGTCATACATAGACTTATGTCAGTTAGATTGTTTATCATTGGAGACTAATAGGTCATGTTGAACCTGGAGAATCAACATTTTAAGTCCTGGTTGGGGCGGGGGGCCGGTTGTGGTGGTTGTGTGCTGTGTTGTGTCATTTCACATTGAGACGAAGTAGGTGTGTAGTGAACGAGAACACAGGTGGGGCAACCGAATTGTATTTAACGAAAATTACAGAGTTACTCAGTAAAATCGGAAAACCATATCGTAAATCGTTAATTTGCAAAATATCAGTCCATCATATCGAACTGGACTGTTCCTGTTGCAAAACATCAATCCATTGTCACTATTCATGCGTTTCATACAAATTCCATTGTTTTCTAACTCTTCCTTTCTTGATCTTCCCCCATCTTCTGCTGCCAGACATTACGTTGACACTCACGTCGCATACTACTTATAAGTAGCTCACACCACACTCGTCCCCCCTTTTAATAAGCTGTCGTCACTTTCAAAACAGGGACCCTGGTCAGTTAATATCCCCTTCCGTATTCCGTGACACGCTACAATATCCCGGATTACCACTTCGGTCATTGTTCTTGCCCGCTGGTCTGGAATGGGTACGGCATCTATCCAACGTGTAGCGTCTACTAGTTCCCGCTGCTGGGACACGGCGGCAGGCACACTCTCGATAAATTGCAACGCCAACAACTGTGCCCCCGACTCCCCATCCATACTCGGCATCGTGAGCTCCACAGCCAGCACCAACGGGTCACCGACAGCCTCGCTAACCGGAACCTCTGCTGCGCCTCCCTGTCCCCCGGGCTGTCGAACTCCGTCGTCAGCCGCCCGATGACCGTCTCCCACGCCGTCTTCCCGGCGGAACCGTCAAGGCTGTCGTAACCGCCTTCGCCTCACCTTCCCGCAGAGTCTTCAGCACCGCCAAATCCGCCCCGGGCCCCTTCACACCCACCAGCTCCACCGCGGCCTCAAACTCCTCCAGGAAGCTCCGCAAGTCTCCGTCGTCCAACTCCTTCGGCCACGGCAGCTCCGTCCTTCGAGTAGGCAGCGATACCAAATGTAGTGAAGGAGAACACAGGTGGGGCAACCGAATTGTATTTAACTAAAATTACAGAGTTACTCAGTAAAATAGGAAAACTATATCGTAAATCGTTAATTTGCAAAATATCAGTCCATCATATCGAACTGGACTGTTCCTGTTGCAAAACATCAATCCATTGTCACTATTCATGCGTTTCATACAAATTTCATTGTTTTCTAACTCTTCCTTTCTTGATCTTCCCCAACCTTTTGCTGCCAGACATTTCGTTGACACTCACGTCATATACTACTTATAAGTAGCTCGCACCACAGGTGTTCAATGCTATTCTTTGGTTTTCAACGGCGCCTTAACTGAGATCGCTATGTGACGAATACTTATTTCTAAATCATTTTTTTTGGCAAAAATCTTGCAACTAGACAATTTTGTATATTGCTTTTGTTTTTGTTTGTTTTCTAGTGTTCCGAATTGATTGATCGTTATTTAGATGATATCATTAAAATGATCGAAAATAACTATCCACCAGAGCAAATATGTCAAGTAAGAATGTGTGATTTTTTTAATTTTTTATTCATATTTTCGATAGAATTTTACTGTATTATCTTTTCGTTAATGGTTTGTTTTTGCTTAAGATTTTTCAATAGAATGATTATACATATCACATTCATGTTTATGAGTGGATGGAAATGTTTGAATAATTAAGATTATTGTTAAGGCAAAGCTGGTGGTGGTGGTCAGCGGTGTTTGAGCGAGAACACTGGAGATTTTGTTGTGAGGTAGGTGGTAGTGGTTCATTAGAATAACGAATGGGATTCATTTGTCTACTTACTACACCTGAGTTCTATTTCAGTTAGAACATTTTCTTGGTTACTAGGAAATAGTTATATGTGGTTGTACAATATGGCTGTGAAACATGGCCGTTAAAAGTAGATGTTCGTAGGTTACTATAGATGTTTAAGAAGCATTGCTCGTATATCGTGGGACAACCGAGTAAGCAATGCTATCGTTAGTAAACGAGTACTAGGTAAGGATGGCAGATCAATAGATGAAGTGGTGAAACTTCATCAGTTGAGGTGGTTTGGACATGTGTTGCGTATGCCCAACCACCGACTGCCGCGACGAGCTATGTTTTGTGGTGTAGGAGTAGGTTGGAAGAAGGCTAGAGGCGGCCAGACCAAAACATGACACAAATCTATGAAGTCACTGACAAGAGGACTGAGTCATTTTGGTAGATGTAGGCTACCTGGTTGGGGTCCGCGAGACGAAAGTCACCAATGGTTAGAGACCTTGCATGACATGGCTCAAAATCGTTTGCAATGGCGCAAGTGCATCCATTCGTTGAGCTCTCTCAAATCCTAATCTTCTGGAATCGTCAGAACCTCTACCTTTGTCTTTCTAACCTTATCTCCCTGAATTATACTTCTTGAATAATATCTTCGAACCCAAGTCTTCTTCATTACCATTAATACCTCTACTATTTTTATCACTATGGGATATGATGTGACATTTGCGTCTCTGTGCTGATGTGGTATGAGGCAACATGAACTTATGTACATACGTACGAAGTTCTACCTTGCAAACTGGCTGACTGTACAATAAATCATAATTAGTTATATTCAAGTTTATATTCAAGGCGATAAAACAACATCAATCGTAGTTGTCAAACGTATAAAAGTAACAGGTTCAAAATTGTTCTCCTTACAAAATGAAGCTAAGCAAGTTTATTGACGATGAATTTAACCAATGAAATACAAGGAAGAGGGGATAAACCTTAATTACTGATAAGTAACATAGTCAGTCATAAAACAAGAATATCACATTTGTAATAATATCCTTCCATTTTGTGAGTGGTTGACTTAACCGAACTTCTTTTCTACTTGTTACATATAAGACATATTCAAAAATTTTTCTGATTTGGTTGTTGGATGCTTGCAATGCGTACAAAATTTCATTATCATAGTGTATAAGTGCATTTTGAATTTTTTTTTCATGTTTGTTCCTGTTGGTTAATTTACATTTTATGGATATGATAAATATTACCTTGAAGCTAAATGTACTACTTAGGTAATTCATATATATATATATGGTAATGAAAGAAAGACGTGATTGATCATTGAGAGTGGACAAACTGACACTTAGTCTTACTAGCTATCAAATATGTAATTTCTTTTCTTCCGATTAATTTCGATTCTGAACTAATTCAGATCGAGATAAAATATTGTTGATGGTTTATTGTGCTTCTGTGTTTGATTGTGCATAGTGTGTCTGAATATAACTTGATCTAGTTTCTGTATTTTGTGTCATGTGTGTGTGTGAGTGTTTGTGTTTCTTACATTATTTACTTAAAGTAATCATCTTCAGGGCAGTAAAGAATCACCTGTATTAAAGTGGTTTACCGCATTCTTCTCTCCGTAATTTTGGGGCTCAAAGAAATCATTGATTTCAACTTGAAGGTTTCAAACACCTCTAGATGGATGGAGTTTGTACATTTCCTAACACAGTTCAAGCTCCTAATGTCTGTTCCTTGACCTTAAAATTTTCTGGGAACACTCTCTCTTTGAAAACCATGTGTGTAGAACGCTTTAGATTCATGGCTGTATAAAAAAACGTTTCGATAGGGAGAGGAGGCATTTTATCTGCGAATGCACTAGTTTATTTGTGAATTCTGAACAACCGATTTAAATCTCATAAAACACATAACTGAGATGATAAAGAATATTTTTAACTAAAGATATACAGGGGTTTTGAATATGTTGTATTTTCCTGAGTTTAACCGGTCGGTCGTATAGGTTTCATTAGTCTTTCTAGACAAGATCAATAGATAATTCATAGTGAATTGAGCTTTTGAAATATGAATTGTAACCAGTCAAACTCCAACTCGACAGAATAAGCTATCAATCAATTTGGGAGAAATTCTAATGGTCCACTTTTTTTGTGTGTTGACAGTATCTAGGAGGACAATGCCAAGAGTGGCAGACCAGTTGATGAAGCATTAAAACTTCGTCAGTGGAGGTAGTTGAGACTTGTGTTGCGTATGCTTAACCACCGTCTGCCTCGTCCAGCCATGTTTTATGGTGTAGCAGTAGATTGGAAGAAAGCTGGAGCCGACCAAACCAAAACATGGCACAAATCTATGAAGTTACTGACAAGTGGGCTGAGTGATGTTGGTAGATGTAGGCTACCTTGTTGGAGTGCGCGAGACGAAAGTCACCAATGGTTAGAGACCTTGAACGACATGGCTCAAAATCGTTTTCAGTGGCGCAGGTGCATCCATTCTTTGCGTTCCCTCTAATTCTAACCTTCTGAATTCCGCTTAATCTCTATCTTTCTCCTTATAAATTTATCTCACTGAATTATACTTTTTGAATCATATCTTCGCTCCCTAATCTTCTTCATTGTTGCTAATAATTCTAATATCGTTATCGCTCTTGGATTTGAAGTGACAGTTACGTCTCTGTGCTGACGTGGTGTGGCAACCGGAACTGATGTACTTATGTACGAAGTTCTGCGTTGTATCTGTCTGTCTGTCTGTCTGCTCAAAAGCGTTTGTAATGGCACAAGTTCATCCACTCTTTGTGTTCTCTGAAATTCTAATCTTCATAATTCCTCATCATCCCTATCTTTCTCTTTCTAAATTTATTTCACTGAATTAATACTTTTCGAATCATATCTCCGAACCCTAATCTTCTTGATTACTGCTGCTACTATTACTACTACCTGTACGACTATGAAATTCGAGTTGACAGTTGATTGCATCTCTGTGTGTCATTGTGGAGCGGCAAACTTGAACTGATGTATGTATGTAGGAAATTTTATGTTGTTGTTGACTGACTGACTAACTGACTGATTGAATGATTGAAAGTTTCATGTTATTTTCAAACACCACCATAAAAAAGGCCTATCATCTTACCTTGATATATATAACTCCGGATATATATATATATATATATATATATATATATATATATATATATATATGTATAACATTGATTAAATCTATCACTGATTTCGTTAGGCATAGACAATTTCATATACAAATGAAATCATGTTTCATTTTACATTAATAAATTATTGTTTTAATAGTAATAATAATAATAATAATTATTATTATTTTTCATAAGACAATTTCACTCTGTCCCACCGTACCATCTTGGAGTTTATCTGAACAAAATCCATGCTTATTAGGTTCAACTTATTGGTGTCGTGATTATAGTACAGCAAAAATGTGTAATGCTGTGCAATATTGCAATTTCAATGGTTGGACAACTTATCCACCATCAAATCAAAATAAATTCTTTCAATCTCAATGTGAATTAATGAAATTAGCTGAAATATGCGTAAATTCCGAGTTGGCGAAAAAATGTAATCGTATAAATGATTGTTATCAAGAACAAGTGAAAAATTTCTTAAATTTATTTAGTATTTCAACATTATCTTTGGATAATACAAATGATCAATCCCCATGTTCTGTATGCGTTATGATGACAACCAAATGGTTGTTACAATGGGATTTATTTGGTGGACCAATTATTAATCGTAGTATATGCAGTGAATATAAAACTGTCAATGAATTACAACAGGTGAGAGAGAGAGAGAGACAGAGGATAGTTTGTTTTTAGTTGACCGAAATTTTTTTTTCTGAATCATATCACATTACTAGCTATTGGTAATAAGCTGCTTTCATAAGTTACTTACTTACTTACCTATGCCTGTTACCCCCAATGGGGAGCATAGGCCACTGACCAGTATTCTTCAACTTGCTCTATCCTGGGCTTCTCTTTCCAGTTCCGTCCGATTTGTGTTCATTCTTCTCACTATCTGTCTCAATTTCTCGGCGTAATGCGTTCCTTGGGCTTCCTCTTTCCCTTTTGTCCTTGAGGATTCCAAGTGAGGGCTTGTCTTGGGACGCAGTTGGGTGATTTCCTTAATATGCGTCCTATCCACTTCCATCGCTTCTTTCTGATTTCCTCCTCCACGGGAATGTGGTTAGTTCTTTCGCGCATTAGGTTGTTGCTGATCGTGTCTGACCAAAGGATTTGAAGTATTTTGCGTAGACAACTGTTAATGAACACTTGTATCTTCTGGATGATGGCTTTTGTAGTTCTCCAGGTTTCCGCTCCATACAGTATAACCGTCTTGACATTTTTATTCAAAATCCTGATTTTGGTTTTAGTTGAAAGTTGTTTGGAGTTCCAGATATTTTTCAACTCTAGAAATACAGCCCTTGTTTTGCCAATCCGCGCCGTCCCATTTGCATCGGATCCACTTTGGTTGTCGATGATGCTGCCAAGATGTGTAAAGGTGTTAACGTCCTCCAAGGCATCTCCATCAAGAGTGTCTGCTCAAAGGATTTGAAGTATTTTATGTAGATAACTGTTCATAAATACTAGTATCTTCTGGATGATGTCTTTGGTAGTTTTTCAAATTCCTTTCATCTGAAACTAGTATTATTGATTCACTCTATCTTATAACAGCAAACTTAAAATTTCGTCGTTTTTGTTCCCCTACGTTGGCTGTTATCTAGTAAGTATTCTGTGTGCTCGATACATTATATTTTGGGATTTGTCAGTTGATTGAATACATACTTACCTCTTCTTGGTGTTGATATTCACATTGACACTCGAACTCCGTTAGTAATAGAGCTTTCGCTTCAAACAACATTACGTCATCCATTAAGCTACTGAGTGTAGTCTCATTACATAAATATAGTAATTATTTACAATTTCGAGTTTTTTTTTAAAAATTTTTTCATATATTATTTAATTGACGTTTCTAATAAATTATAATATTTTTGATTTGACAATGCATTTACTCTGAATTCAATTGTTTCACATGAATAAAAATAGTTTTATAAATGTTTCATTAAAAACAAAGTTCGTATTTATTTGTGCTTTATGTGATTTTGTGATTTTGTGCGTTTCGATCAAGCTGAGTGTGAGCATATTTTGTTCAATACACTTTAACATTCTTCATTATATGTTCATCTTGTACTTGAATAGACACTTGATGTTCAATGATTGAATGAATGCCTCGAGTAATGGTACTGCTTATTTTCTCTTTGGATTTTGAGTCTCAATATTAATTATTTCTTACTGTTGATTCCATGCATGTTATTTCAACTTCTGTGGATTTGTTCTCACCGTAGTAGTAGTGGTGATGTAACAACTTAAACTAATGGACATGTTTGCCTAGGTTCTACGTTGATAATAACTAATTAATTGACCGTTGCTTACGCCTGCTATCTCTTGAGTAGCATCATTGACCGCTGATCAGTAGACTCATGTTGTTACGACTTACTGCTCATTCTTCAATGTCCACTTGTGATTCTCTGTTTCGTGTGTTCTTTGGTCTGTCACTTTTTCTTTCGGCCTTAAAATTTCAAGCTAGGACTTAGTATGTCATGTAGTTCAATGATTTCTGCAGTGTATCCACCTCCAAAATGTTGTCCTAATTTCCTATTCAGTTGGAAGCTGGTTTGTTTCGCTGCTACAGGTCTCTAAGACCAACACTTTTTCTATCTTCCTTTTCCGGTCCCTCAAGAAACAATCTTCTACGGTGTGGACAGCCGGGAAGTGACAACCGTCCTCATACCCGTAACAACACACAGTTGGCCTTTATCCAATGGTATCTGTCCAATGAATCTGTAGTATTCTTGTCTAGATAAGTATTTATAAATAACTGTACCTTTTGAATGATGGTTTCATAGTTCTTCAAGTTTCAACTCTATGCAAAAAACTGTCTTGATGTTTGTATTGAAAAATCTGAATTTAGGCATGTAAACGTTTCCACCTATTCGATGTTGAGTGGATTCAGTGGGGTCGTCCAATTGAAGAGCTCTAACAATCTGTTATGCTCTTCTTGTATAGCAGGAGTTACTTTGCATTCTTTGCATTTCACTGGACGTTGTGGTTTACTATATTTTCCAGCGAGCTTCTACATTGTTTGATATAGTTGTCTCATGTTTACTTTTCTAGCAGCTTTTTCCTACTATCACTACTTGGTCTTCCATATATTTTCACTTATTCAACTTTAACACTTCTCTTCACTTGCTTGTTTACTTCTGTGTTTTCGGACTGTACCTTAACTTTCTCTGTTCTTGTTTGACTGTTATTGATTACTATCCTCTTGTTCTTCCTTTCTTCAGTTCTATCCACAGTATCAAAAGAGATCCATTTCTTGTGATTGTTCTATTTGTGGCCTAAAAATTCATTGCATACTAAGGCAAATGTTTCTTTGATCTCTTTCCCAGTAGTTTCCTCTTTATTGAATAGATTGTCAAAAGGCCTTGAACTTACTGCTGACTTTGTCAGTATCCTAAAGATGGGTCGTATTAAACTTTCGTGTTGCTATTTGTCTGATTGTCTGGTGTTTATTTAGTTTCAGTTTCATCCTGTTCACCACCAGAAGGGGATCTGAAACTATGTCAAGTTCTCTTTTTCTTTGTACATTCTACATGATCCTTCCTATTACTGGCTTTATA